AGTTTCATTGATCCTTCTGCTTAGATAAGGTGGTTCAGGGATGGAAATAGATCTTCCCTAATTGATTATGTCACTGACACTGTGGCAGTAGATGCTTTCACTCTATTAAAATTGCACCTTTAAAGTCACAATTGGCTAATGGTGGGTTTGACAGTGATCCAGTACTATGGTGAAACACTCGGGAAGTCTGAATGAAATCATATGTGCATCTTATACAGTGCTTTTTTTCTGGGGGTACGCATACCCCTAAACATTTTGTGAATCTAAGTTTGGCCTCATTGGGGGGCAATATTTCAATATGAGTAGGAAAATGAGAGTAACCCTAAACATTTTTTTAAGAAAAAAGCACTGATCTTATATGATTGTTGTATGAAATCATAAAGGCATCTTAAAAGATTTCAAACTTTCATGAAGTTCTCCACATTTCTACAGAAATCATTATGAAAATTCATCAGCATTTTACTGTGAATTTCTCCTAATAAACACATTTTTGTATGCAGTTTTGACTAGCGCACACATTTTGGCACGCCATTTCCCCAAACATAGTGCATTTTTATGTTCATTTCACTAAAATATGCATTTTTATGCACACATTTTTGGTTGTAAAACTTAATCCCAAAATTCAGAGAAGTGTAAATTTTCAACAATACCTGTGTTTTGGTTTTTGCATTGGTTTGAGGTGTGCAAATTAGGGAGGTGTTCTGAACCACCGGCCCATAGCGTGGCATATGTAAATGCAAGGGATACCAAAGATGGTGTCAAAAACCGTACAATGGCCAGTTCTAGTGCTTTATTAAATAAAGGTGTAAACTTGCAACACAGCCTATGAAGCCCCATTACCATTACAGATGTGAGGCAAACATTGCAGCAGCGAGAGGTCATCTTGACTTGTCTGCAAAGTTCTAATATGCTAAGCATTACCTATACAAAAGACAGCACACGTCAGTTTGGCCCGAACCTCCCATCAATCCATCTGACCCATGAGGGCATAGGTGGCAGTTATCCAAGGCTTACAGATATCTCTCCTCTCTGGGCCAAGAGCCAAACATCCCAGGGCCCACAGATAAGCATAGCATCAAAGCAAGCCAATTAGCAGATATCAAAGCAAGTGCATAAATATAGGTGAGCTCATTATTGCAACTACTATCAAGTAATCAGGGTTATCTTGACTACCAAGATGGCGTTTCCAGGCCTACTGGAAAAGTCTCCCTCCCTAGTTAACACACATTTACACCATTCACATCTTACATACGTTGTCCATTGGGTGGAAGTTCCCCACTCCTGGTGCGAATCAGATGGACTAACGCTCAGGCTTACTGAAGGCAGCTTCCATATATTCTTTTCTTCTGTGTACCTACAGAGGTCGCTGGACTACATATCCCATTGTCCATGACCACTGGCCGATCTGGCTTTGGCTAATGGGAGTTGGAGTCCAACAATGTATGGAGGGCGACAGGTTGCCTACCCCTGATATAAAAGGTCTCTGCTTCCAGATAAGGCGATGGAAAAGGATGGGGCTAATTATATATTTGAGAGCCATCCCGAGCCTATAAGTATTATACATCAATGCAGGAAAGGCAACATGGTCGACAAGAGACTCGTTGTATTATTTATTTTAGTGTTCAAAGCATTTTGTCTGAAGAAGTTAGGATTTCAGCTACATATAGGGAGAGCAGTGTCTTTCATTTTTCTTCCGAGTCCCTCCCTCCCTGTGCTCAGTGCATCAAGTGTCATTAATTAGCACACACTCATGTGTGTATGAAGCCTTACAACAGGTTGGGTTCCCAGGAGGCGTCCCTTCGGGGGGTTAAAGGCTACTCATCCAGACAGATGATGCAAGAGAGAGCGAGAGATGCCAGGGTGCAGAAAGCTCTCTCGCTGCATCACAGTTTTCCCAATGTCCCAGTGATCATATTTCATGGGGCATTATCATATTTCAGCAGTGACATTTACTAGCTTTATGAAAAATGAAATAAAGGAAAATGGCCCTGCCACCAGCTTATCAGATTCATCACTTTAGGAATTTCCATTGATGTTTCATTTATACTCCCTTATTTGAGCCCTTATATAATTCTTCTGAATTGCAGTGGAATCGGAGTGACGTTTGCTTAGGAGAACAGATTGCAAAGTTTTAAAAGCAACTCAATCTTGTGTTAAGGGGTGGTTCTGCACATACTAGGCCTACAAGCAGCGAGTCGGGAGTAAGGAGGAGCAGACAATGGATGTTCATAGTGATTTTTTAATGGTTTTTTTTGTAAACTGCTTGGAGGTTTTATTACCATCAAGAATAATATTAATATTGATATTATTAATATTTGCACCCCCCAAGAAGCACAAGGTAGCACACATGGTTTTCCCCTTCTTCAATCTCCACAACAACCCTGTGAGGTGGTTTAGGCTGAGCAGCTGAGAGGCAGTGAGAGACCAAGGTTCTCCCATTGAGTTTCATGGCTGAGTGGGGATTTGAACCCTAGCTTCCTAGGTCCTAGTCCAACACCATAACCACTACACCACATTCATTCCCATTCTGATCCAAATTGTTCTGTCTTAATTTGCCCTTTAGCCAGTCTCAGTGTATGAGTTAGCTGTTCAGCCAACACAGTTTGCCAAACACATCCATTCTAATAGCCCGCTGTGTCAACAGAATCCCCTTTCCTTGATACAGAAGGAACAAGATGCATTGGGACTGTGTTTGGGTGGGCTTGACCTCCGTATCTAGGATTAAATCTTCTCCAATCGTTTGAAACAGCAGCAAACAACACAATTAATGCCATGCGTAGTACTACCTAGGCCCTTTGGGATCAATTAGTTGTGACTCCCTGTTGGGTGTGCATTCATTGGCAAACTCAAGTAACATGTGGATTGGCCATCTGATACCCCACCATTAAATGCTTCAAAAATGGAATCTTATCAGCTTGCTTAAAAAACACCACCACCAAGTGATCACTTCCCCCTCACTTCTTTTAAGAACGACCATTTTCCAACCTTGCCCCAAAGCTATTGCTATCACAGGCTGCGTTCTCTGATTTTGACAGGAGGACGTTCTATGCCAGGGCTATTGAACCTGTGCCCCTTCAGATGTTGACAGACTCCAGCTCCCCTTCTCTCTGACCACCGGCCAGGATGGCTGAGGCTGAGGGGAGCTGGAGTCCAATGATATCTGAAAGGCTGCATTTGTCTTTGTTTTAAATACAAAAGGAATGGCAACTGAAGGCTGATTTGGGTATGCACATTCTTCCAGTCCCATTCTTCCAGTCCCCTTTTTATGCAATAACTGAAAGCACGCAGAAAGCTTTATGCAGGGGTAAAGGGACCCCTGACCATTAGGTCCAGTCGTGGCTGACTCTGGGGTTGCGGCGCTCATCTAGCTTTATTGGCCGAGGGAGCCAGCATACAGTTGGTCATGTGGCCAGCATGACCAAGCCGCTTCTGGCAAACCAGAGCAGCGCATGGAAACACCATTTACCTTCCCGCCTATTTATCTACTTGCATTTTTTGGGGTGCTTTCGAACTGCTAGGTTGGCAGAAGCAGGGACCGAGCAATGGGAGCTCACCCTGTCGCAGGGATTCGAACTGCCAACCTTCTGATCGGCAAGTCCTAGGCTCTGTTGTTTAACCCACAGCATGTGCACTCCCAAATCACTCTTCAGATGCAGTAGAAGGATTCATTTTCAAAGTCCCTCTTACTGTTCTGCTCCCACCTTGCTTTATTGGATGCCACTGGCCTGGGCACTCCCAAATAATCTATCTTCTTCATACTGCTGGATTGCTGTGTTTTGTTCCTTTTATTATTAATTATTTTATTTATGATTTTCAATTTTATACACTTCAATAATTTCATAATCATTTTAACATTTCAAAACTTGACTTACTTCCCCCCCTTTCTGCGGTTCCTTAAATTTATTTTTAATATTTTCTGCATATCCAAATTAACTTAATTTGCTCATTCATTCATCTACTTTAAATTTAGAGCCTTATAAAACTGCAGGTTATTACAATCATCCTGCCAATGTTCTTATCTGTTTACTGTTTATTTGTAAATATTCAATAAACCATTCCATTCTTTTATTAAAAGTTTGTTATCTTGATTTCTTATTTTTCTGGTAAGTTTTGCCATTTCTGTATATTCCATAAGTTTTTGTATCCATTCTTCTTTTGCTGGGACTTCTTCTTCTTTCCATTTTGGGGCAAAGATGTTCTGTTCCTTTGCCTGCAGAATAGCTGGCTGAGTGATGTGCAATAACAGTTTATTGGGAATTAATTTGTACTGAACAGCTGCAATAAAATGGGTGAAGGAAAGGGACAGATTTACCCAGTACAGGCCATGGGGTGTGTGTATGTGTGCACATGCGCGCGAGAGCTTCAATGTATTCTTAGGACCAACAATGCAGGACACTGCAGCTAAATCCTTTCCACAATAGTATCATTTTGCTTAATAATATTTGCATTCCCCTTAATTTAGAATGTACTCACATGGTTGTTGTGTGATGAGGATATCTATGAACATGGTAGTTTCCGAGCCAAAGAACAAGGCGAGTTAAAGGTGCCGACCTTCCGTAAAAAGAACACCAAGAACTGCATCAAAATATTTTTTAAAAGGAGCCTAATAAAATCTTTCCATACCCATTTATGGTTTGTTTGTTTTCCACATTTGGGAATCTGAATGCATTCCAAGGGAACTTCTCAGGAAACTTTACCAAGAACACAATTCTTTTAAACGGAGGTTTTACAGTCAAATATGTAATCTTAGATAAATGTGCCGTTCTTGCCCTCGGTGTTAGCATTGTACGTCTCAGGTTCAGGGAGGGGCCATAGCTCAATACAGAAGCATGTGCTAAAGATTCCATATCTAGGCCCTAGAACCTCTGAGTCACAAGGTAGCAGGGCAGGGAACACAGGAAGATAGGAAGTTCCCTCATAATGAATCATCTAGTTCAGTATTGTCTACATTGGCAGCAGCTTTCCAGAGTATCAGATCAGGAATATTTCCTAACTCTACCTAGAGATGCTGGGAATCAAACCAAGGACCTTATGCATGCAGAGGAGATGCTCTCCCACTGAGCTTTGGCCTGAATCTTAGGAGAGTTCTTGCCAGTCTGAGTAGGCCTTGTACTGAATGGAGCAGTCAACATTCTGGAATATCATTTTTGTTTCATACAATCATTGTGTTTGAGGGGACTTTGCAGGCATTCTTATCCAACTCGCTTCAACAAATCCAAAAGCCAGAGAACAGCCAAAAATAAGGATGGGGGATTCCGTTTGTGTTGAAAGGTGAACATGCCCAATTTGCTAATGATTTTTGGTTTTTAAAAGTGGGCAAAATCTATTACGTACAGGATACGTAACCTGTTGTGTTACATGATCATGCTGTAAATGCACACAATGGAGCGTCTGAAAGCTCATCTCCAGAGCTCTGGATAAAACAGCATGATGCAATCCAAACCTGTTCCCTGGGGAAGGTTTTCCTTTATTAGAAAGAACATAGCAGATCAGCAACCTCTGGGAATGCCTCTGTGATGAAAGAACAGGTATGTTCAGAAGCAAAAAAAGGTCAGAGACGTCTTGGCAGGAAAGTTGTTATTACCATGCCAACATTTTTGCAGCAAAGATTGGCTGTCCAGGGTTTCAAATACTGTACAGCCAAGAGTGGCTAGACAGGCCTAGATCTCCTGTTTAGTAGTTATTCCACAGTATTTGTGCGCTCTGCATGTAGAATAGTTCTGACGCTCCACATAAACCCTCCTGCTGATAGCTGCAGAGAAGAGATGCCATTCATATTTCATGTTACCTAGTGGGTTCCCCACTATAGACTGCAGCCAAGCCCTGTGGGCAAAGTCATGGTGCCATGCAGAGATCAGCTATAAGGCTGGTGGATGTGGTTTGGCCAAAACAGCCACATAGGAAAAATGGGGAGGTCTGGGAGGCCTAATTAGCCCCATGGGCTGATGGTTCACCACCCTTGCTATAGAGTTTTGGAGAAGATGCTTTCTGTTCTTTTCTTCTTTTTCCCATAATCACCTCCATAGGTATTCTCTCTCTCTGTGTGTGTGTGTGTGTGTGTGTGTGTGTGTGTGTGTGTTAGAGAGAGAGAATATAAAGAGAGAGTGCGCACAGAGAATTGATTTAAACATGTAACCCCATCTTTTGTTCTATCCCGGCCAAGATGCATTGAGCAATGAGCTCTGGCTTTTCACAAAGGTCCGTGCAGCAGCAGAGGAAGCTGCTCGGGCACCTGGGGCAGTGCGTCATGGGGCGGGGTGAGCCACCCATAGGGGCAGGGCACACCACGGGGCCTCCGGAGTCTGCCTGCCTCCTCCCACTCAGCTGCCCTGGGGGGGGAGGCAACAGGCGGACCGTTTGGGCAGTGCGGAGCCTGCGTGCACCCAAGCCACTGCATCTCTCCCAGGAGAGACGCATGGCTCGGGCGCACTGCAGGCCCCATGGTGAGTGCCGCCCCACATCTTGTCACCTCTCTCAGTGGTGACACCCAGGGTGGCCTTCACCCACCACACCCTCTTGCTCCGTCCCTGGCGGAGGAAACCTTTGTCCCTCTCACAGTTCAAGAACTTAGGGTTGCCCGGTCAAATTATGCAATGTTCAAAGCAGGTAGAAGAAAGGAAACCGTTCTTTGCACAGTGCAGACTGGCAGCATTTGCAACTGCAAGATGTGACAATGGCCACAAGCTGGTTTCTGCAGTGGCGTAGCGTGGGGGGTGCAGGGGGGGCCGGCCGCACCAGGCGCAACATCTGGGGGGGACGCGCTCGCACTCGCAGCTCTCTGCCCCTACCTGGCTCACTCACTCGAGTGCTAAAATCCACGGGTTAGGGGGCGCAAATTACTTGCCTTGCCCCGGGTGCTGACAACCCATGCTACGCCACTGGGTTTCTGGTTTTTAAAGAACATTAGACAAATTCATAGCCAGGTGGGGCTATTTGCAGCAATCCAACTCAGTCTGGAAGGACATGTGGATCCAGAATTGGCCTCCACAGTCATGGATGACTGTGGTGTAGTGGTTAAGAGCGGTGGACTCGTAATCTGGGGAACCGGGTTCACGTCTCCACTCCTCCACATGCAGCTGGTGGGCGACCTTGGGCCAGTCACACTTCTCTGAAGTCTCTCAGCCTCACTCACCTCACAGAGTGTTTGTTGTGGAGGAGGAAGGGAAAGGAGATTGTTAGCTGCTTTGAGACTCCTTAAGGGGAGTGAAAGGCAGGATATCAAGTCCAAACTCCTCCTCCACCTCCTCCTCCTCCGTCTTCTTCTTCTTCTTCTTGACTCACTGTTAAGACCGTGTTCGTGAAAGACAATCTTACTTTGCTACGAGTGATCACCAAAGAAGAGGGATCACCTCTGTTGAACCACTTCAGTCTGATCCATCCAGGTGGTTCTTATATTCTAATTTATTTATTTTCATTTTTTACAGGCTACTTTTCTGGGCAAGGATCTCTCAAGCTAGCAAACAAAACCACAAATGTTAAAATACAGTATTTTAAAGAGACTATTGAACAAGATTTATATAACCAGAAAAAGTAAGCTGTTTATAGAAGATAATAGGAAAATATAGGAAAATCAACGGACTTTAAGAACAAGTAGACATAATAAAATTATCAAAATGCAGATAAAAATCAAGAGTTTAAAAAGCAAACATGCCTAAAAAATGATATGTATGGCTAGGCTTACCGAAACAAAAGAGAAGTTTGTAGCAGGCATTAAAAATAAATAAATGTATAGCTGCCTGCCTGGGATCAGGAATATTGAAGCACATTAGGTTGTATCTAGTGCTAGCCCTATAAGTTCATTAATTTCAACGGGTCTGAGTAGAACTTGGTTGGCTACAGCCATTTGAAACATTAAGGCTCGGAAAAATACAAAAATAAACAATACTTAAAAATATGATTCAGCCAATACAAAACAATTTTTCGAAAAGCACAGCAGTAGATCAGCAGCATGAGTTTGGCATGAAGTCCTGTGGTAAACAAATATGTGTGTTTCTCTCCACTGCGTCATTCAGGCTTCATTCTGCCAAGGCCTTCTCCTATTTTTCTATCACCACATTTCTAACAGCTCAACCAATATCTAATTCGGAATGCAGGGCCGTCCATCCACCCTCAAGCCCCATACAAATCAACTTACCTACACTGCTGAGGTGACAGTCTGCCAGAGGCAACGAAGAAAGGATTTACTGCTGAAAAGATCCAGAAAAACAGGTGTCTCACTAAAAGCAAATATTTCCAAATGATGCAAGCCAAGCTGGAATGTTACAGGAAAAGGCAAATCACCAAAAAGAGTATTTGGCATTTCTAGAGTACTTTAAAGTCTTCAAACAAGTCAAGTGTAGTAGTCCTCATATTGTCGTGGGGCAGGTTGGGAGAGCTGAGGGAAATCGTGGGTTGTATAAGGCCACATGCTGAACTTTTGACTCGAACCATGGTTCTTGATTCAAGCTCAAAGTTAGCCTGCTAAAAGTTGCCACAGAAATCACTAGAACGGGGTGTGCATGTTTGTGATATTTATACAAGCCCTTCAGCAAGGTCTTGGGGCACCTTACTAAAAGTTAAAATTACTTTAAGACAAAAAAATTGCGTTGGTTTGAATGCTTTCTATTTATACTATATGCCCTTCTGTGTGGCTGAGGGATTGAATGAACCTCTGTCACATCTGTGCTGTAGGTAGCTATCAGAACCAGAGAGACCAAGTGAAGACCCATAACAAACAATAGTTTTCCAGGTCTGAATGGGAAGCCTTTACAGCCCTTCTTGTTGAGGAGAGTCAATGCAGTGGCGTAGCGGGGGGGGGGCACACAGAGGCAGTTGCCGTGGCCACAGCATTGTTAGTGGCACAAAATTTCAACACCCAGTGCTGCCTCAATACAGTTGTTTGCTTCTGTTGCTGGGCTCTGTTGAAAATGGTTTCTCCATGCAAACCAAGAAGTCACCTCTCGAGACAATGGAACGACTCTTCATTTGTTATCTCTGCAGCTGTGATCTCCTGGGTTGAATGTGTGTGCATACTCTGTCCAGCCAGCATGGGAAATAATCTAGGGTGATGGGAGTCATACTCCAACAACATCTGAAGGGCCAAAGGTTCCCTATCCCTGCTTTACATTAGAGGGGAAGTCTGGTGATGGTTTACATCTGCAGCAATCCCTGGGCATCAGAACAGCACTCATAAAATGAAATGTAAGTGGGTTCCCACGAGGCAAGACACAGTGATAACAGCAAGAACCTTTACTGAACTAACAGAACTGGACAACAGGGGCAAATCAACTGCTTATATACATTTCTGAAGGCGTGGGCCACTCCCACTCCCAACGTGATTGGCTGCCTAAACTTCCAAGCTGCGAATCATGACTCAGAGTTTAAGGACCAATGGCAGAGGCCCAAAACCTGAAATGTTATGTGGTTGGATATCATGTATTGAATCAGAACACAGGTGTTCAGAATCCTTAGTCCAGACTCAAGCTCAGGCAAACACAAACCACTGAATACATAACGTAAAACATCCTCCCTAGTGTCCTTTTCTTAGCTCTGCAATTACAACCAATCCAGGCGAAGTCCCCCTACAGACAAGACCAAAGACAAAAACCCTGTTGCTTTCCCTTGTCCTTCTTAAGTACCTTGTTGTATTACAGACATTCCTCTGCATATCCACTCTGAAATTACTTCATGAACTTATTTGAGTTCTGAGGTTATTTTCAGATTAGAGTTAGAGATTCATACAACTCCATCCCATTTTTTTCACCATTTCCAATCTAGTTAACCTTTGAACACAGTTTATTAACATATCTTGTTGGAGCAGAAAAAGAAAAAAAGCCATCTGAATTGACCTTGGTATCAACCAAAACAAAAGAGGAAAATTAAAGTGCCATGGTAATCATCCTCAATCCATTTTTCTTTGCTGAAAAACAAATATGTGATGTTCCAAGGAGTTTTGTATGACATTGGAGAAGTAGGATGTTTAGCTTCCTAAAGGAATCTTCACACACACATGAAATAAATTCTTTTTTGGAAAGGGGGGGGGATAATTTCTTAAAGGGTCTTCAGGAATCACATTTCAATCCATACA